AGAGCTAGGACCACAAGCAATTCTCCTTGGAAAGCCATTCATGACCTGCTACCAGTTTTCTCTCCTAATATCAGATATGATTTGAATTCCGATAACTCCATAAAATTCTGGGAACAAACCTGGGTGGAGAGTGCCCCTCTAAAGGATCAGTTTCCTTCTTTGTTTGCTCTTTCTGATCTGAAAAATGAGCCAATCTCGTCTTTTATCACCCCGTCCTCTTCCACTTCTGGGATTGGGTGGAATTTGGGTCTAAGAAGGGATTTGAGGGACTCAAACTTTGACAATACTTTGAGCCTTATTGCAATTCTTGATAACGTTGTCTTAGACCCCACTAGGGCGGATTCTAGAATTTGAACACCTTCTTCCAACGGCATTTTTTCTTGTGCTTCTTTCTTCAAAGTCTTAAGTCAGTCCACCAGTCCTACCTTCCCTCCTTTTCCTGTTGATGAGGTTTGGTGCAGAGCAATACCTCCTAGGGTTGGTAGTTTTTGTTGGGAAGCCTATCTGGATAAAATCAACACTGGTGATCTACTCCAAAAGAAAAGACCCAATACTTGTTTGTCACCTCAGTGGTGTGTTCTTTGTAAAGCGGATGGGGAGACTGGTTTTCACCTACTGGTGTCTTGCCATTTTGCGAGGTCAATTTGGGAATGGGCTTTGTCCCTATTTGGATGTAGTTGGAATACCCCATCAGACTTGCAAGGCCTTTTTCCCCTTCTCCTTTCAGGTGGTGGATAAAAAGGGGAAGGACAATGTGGAGAGGACTAAAGGCTGCAGTATGTTGGACACTTTGGGAAGAAAGAAACTCCAGGATATTCTCAGAAGCTTAGAGAGGAGCAGCAGATCTAAGGGCTATCATTCATATTAGGGCGATATAGTGGCTGAAATCTTTGGAGCTCTTCACAGATTACACTGTGAATGACATGTTGAGGAAGTGGGGTGAAATTGCAAATTGCACACAGACTAAGTCAGTAATGAGTGTGGTTTGGACCCTTCCACCTAGTGCATTCGTGAAACTAAACTTTGATGGGTGTAGCAGGGGAAATCCGGGACAATCGGGGATTGGGGTGTTTTTATGGATGAAAATGGGGTCATTTCTGCTATGTTCTCTGGCCCAATTGGAGTGGGTGATTCCCTTAGAGCTGAGATCTTTGCAGTTATGGAAGGAGTACAGAAAGCTAAGGAGTTGAACATCAGGAAACTTTTAATTGAAGGGGATTCAGAGGTGGTGATAGGGTGGCTGATTAAAGATCACAATGGCTTATGGAAGTACAATAATGAGAGGAGGAAATTCAAGTGGCTGGTGCGGGAGATGGAAGTTAAGATACTTTGGGTTAAAAGATCGGCTAATTCCCTAGCGGACGGTTTAGCTAAACAAGGGGCAGAAAGGGATTCACTTTTTTAGACTAAGTTGTAACTATAGTGTGTTTTCTTTATTTTTTTCTTTTCTTGAGGTTCTTTGTTGCTCTTGGAAGATAAGTGTGTTTGTCTTCCTATTGTAAATCTTCTTTTGATGAGTTAATGAAAGTGTTATTGATCAAAAAAAAGAAGGCACAGGGGTCAATTTGCGCCTAAGGCACAAGGCGAGGCGCGCGCCTTTTCAAAGCAAGGCGCAAAAATACAAAAAAATCAAAAAAAAATGTCAAAATTTTCAAAAAATGCCAAAAAATTAAAAAATATCAAAAAATATTAAACATAATATTAATAAAAGATATAAATTTAAATTTTAAAATAATGTTTTAAAAAACCTATTATCTAAAATTAAAATACATAAACATAAGATGTAAAGCATATTCAAATGAAATCTAAAAATAAAATCAAACATATAAAACATTTTCGAGCATGTAAAACCTCTATTCCCTTTTTTCATTCAATTGCATTACTTCAAGTAGCCAATGTAATGTAAAACATATTACATTCCTGACTCTACGAGCCACCTTTTGAAAAATTGACGTTTTTTTGCTTTCTTTTTTAACATAGCGGCTGGGCTGGGGGCGGAGCCCCCGAACCCCTGTGTCACACCCCTCAAGGCAAGCCCAAACAAGTCCACATTAGGTCTTAAATTCTTAGTTTTTACACAAAAAAATAATGATTTTATAGTTTTAATTGTTTTTTTAAGAATACATTTTATTAGGATGAATGAATGAACAACATTACCAAATTGAGGGTTCTCGGATTTTTTGTGTGAGAACTAAGAATTTAAGGCGGCTCGTAGAATCAGGAATGTAATATGTTTTAGATTACATTAGCTACTTGAAGTAATGCAATTGAGTGAAAAAAGAGATTAGAGGTTTTACATGCTTGAAAATGTTTTACATGTTTGATTTTATTTTTAAATTCTCATTTGAATATGCTTTACATCTTATGCTTATGTGTTTTAATTTTAGATAATAGGATTTTTAAAACATTTATTTTAAAATTTAAGTTTATATTTTTTATTAATATTATGTTTAATATTTTTTATTTTTTTGAATTTTTTGACAATTTGTTTTTATTTTTTAGCTTTTTTTATATATTTTTGCGCCTTGCTTCAAAAAGGTGCGCACCTTGCCTTGTGCCTCAGGCGCAAATTGAGCCCTGCCCCTTGTGCTTTTAAAACGCTGCCTTACTTATTGGTTCAGTTTTAAAAAGTCTTTTGAGGGTTCAATACAGCATTTAGCAATGTTTGTGTTGATTAAACCCTAACAAACAAAAAAATAATAAAAAGAAATTAGTATATAAACACACAAAATAAATATTTTAGTTTAACAATGTCTATTTTATAATTATAATATCAAAAAATAAAGAATAAAAAAGTATTTTATAATAGAAAGTACAAAACTGCTTGGCGATTAGGTGAGGTGAGCCTCAAAGAGCGCTTAGGCGCCCACCTATGCGTCACCTTGACAACTATGCTGAGAAGTGTACTGAACTAATGCACCCTTTAATCCATTTTCTCCACCTCACTCTCAATCCAAATTTTTCCAAAAGAATTAGAAGAAAAGACCAATCCACCATATTATAAGCTTTTTCTAAATGCAGCTTGCAAGTTAGACCTCTCCCTCCCTATTTCCTTTTATCGGCCACACACATTTGCCACTACGATTTGGTCTACTATTTGTCTCCCTTCTACAAAAGCTCATTGATTTTGAGAGATTACTAAAGGCATATTTGTCTTCAACCTGCCTACCAAGACTTTAGCAATGATTTTATAGAGGCTACCAACAAGAATTATGAGCCTATAGTCCTTTAGAGTTTTAGCCTCTTTCTTTTTAGGCACTAGAGCAAGGAAGGTAATATATTTTGATCACTTTATTAATAAATATAATATTTTGATCATTTTTAGTTTAATTTATTAATGCTACTCAATATCCAATTGCAATCCAAATTCAATTTGAATCCAGTATAAATCTAAAGGACAAGATTTTATTCAAATCCAAACATTGATGAATCAAATTTAGATCTAGATGTATCCAGTTCAATCCAACTCATGTTCCTCTTGTCCTCATGAGGTCACTTAGATTGGCGCCTTGGCGGTGTCCAATGAAGCCCGTAGGCCTCGTGCCAATTAAAAATGTCATTCTCTCTAAATCTGTTCCAGACTTAAGTTTTCTTCTGTTTCTTCTTTTATGCCTCTATTGGGTAGGGATGGAAGCATTCAAGTGGGGCCCATCTCTATTTGTTTTTGTGAAAGAACTCTTTAAGACTTGCATTTGACCACCCTTGCTCTAGGATGTCCAATTCTCTTTCATATTTTTCTGGTTTCATTTTTATTCTTCCCAATAAATCTCTTTGCCACCAATCTAAGAAGAAAAGAAAAGAAAGGGAAAAATCACAGTAAGTGAACCTCAGGTGGATGAATTATCACTTCCTGACCATCTTCACCACCTAATGTACATTCTGGCCTTCGGAATGTCAGTAGTGCAGCCAAAGCAGCAATATTAGCAGCATCAACCAGATTCCTGCAGTACTAACAAAAGCAAACTATAAGTGATAGTGTTCAAATATTTTTAGTTTTAATGGATAAATTTACAGCTTACCCTCCATTGTCAAGAATGTGAAGATCAACACGAATGGACCAGACTAACTTTCCAGCAAGCACACAAAGTGACTCTGTATCTATTGCCCTGCTCTCCCTGCAAGTCCACATCTAAACTTTCAGAAAGAACCTATTGAATCATTACTGAGGCAATTGCTAAATGTAGCAACCATGATGTCACGAGTATTGTTTTAGATAACTGAATTCTGCATAAAGCATGAAAAGACAAGGTATACTATAAAAGAATGAAGAACAATGACCAAAGTTTCAAGTTCAACCCCT